AATTGCAAAGCAGTAATACCATATATATATATATATATATGGTATTACTGCTTTGCAATTGATTTAAAATTCGCAATATAGCATCAAAAAAGGAAGTTATTTAATAGTGCACACAAAGGGAGTTGAGAAAAAAGTCTATGACAGTTAACAACGCACAGAAACAGACTAGTAATGAAATTGCGTCTGTTATGTGCGAACTGGCATTTTTAGCTGGCCTCGTTTAGCTTGCATTTAATCAACGTTTTCCTCTTTATAAGCATTCGCTTTATCTAACGCCTCTTTTCGCTTAAACAATTCAGAGTGTCGGCTGATCAAGATGTTCTCACCTCTGTTCGGTTCCAATTGGAGAAGCTTTTCGAAGTTTTCCGGGTTCTAGAAGTGGCCTCCCGTGATCCAAACCCTACCTTCACCATCGTTCGTCCACCACCAAGGGGTTGGTCCAACTCCCAACTTCTCTTCTCCCCCGATCCTCCACCTTCAACCAGTGCATCAATTCGAACTTCAATTCTTCCCTGTCCCTCCCTCACAGGCCCCTTCAATCTCCCCCTGAAGCCATCTCCAATCCCTTCTCGACCATCGGAGTACATGCTCTTGACTCCTCGAGCACAATGGCCTGGAGATCTCGCAGGTTTTGGAGAGAATTCAGGTGGCGGATCTGGGTCATATCTTGATCCTCATCTTGCTGCAGCTCTTCTCAAACTCTGGCTCAGAGAAATGGCCACCCCTCTAATACCTAATTGTTTAACTTCTGAAGTCTTTGCTGCCGCTATTGAAGCGGAAGCCCTCGAGAAGTCAGTGGGTAGTGGAGTGGGGTCAAATTTATCAGGGCTTGAGCCAATTGAAAGGTGTTGTGCTATGGTGAGACGTCTTCCAAGTATTAATAGACGAGTACTGCTGTATCTTATTAAGTTGTGTCAGCACCTCGCACTACCGGAAAATTCAAGTACATCTCTAATGGATGCTCGTAATTTGGCCACAGTGATAGCGCCCAATCTCTTCCGTTCGGCTTCGAATAACCCCAGTGAGCTACTCAACTCAGTACAATCACAGACTGCCTTCGTTCGACTACTCATTTGTCACCTTGACGTTGACACAGAATCCGCCTTACTCAACGCGGAAGGATCAACAGCAAGTGAGAATTCGGAAGTTGCAGGCTCTGAAAATGGAATAAATCCATCGAACACTCGATGTTGATCTCTCTGACATCTCATCTCTTATCTCTCAAGTTTTATTTTTCACCCCCCCCC